TGCAAAATGAGGATGAATTTTCCGCAAGAACATGGAAAGATTCACAACCACAATTTTTGTCGTTTGTGCATTTGATGAGTCACTGTGGTGGTGCGGCGAGGCCCAGTGAGTACCTCCTGTTCTCCTCATTAACCCCTCACCGCAGGGGGGAGAGGAAGGGGAGAGAGGAAGGTGTACGTAGTGTTATCTTGGGTGACAATTCCTCCTATTGGAAGTGAGGGGTACTTTAGTAATAGGTAGTAGACTGAAGTAGAAGGGGAAACCGGCTGATGCTGCTGGGATAACTCCGGGTTGAGTTGTGAGGTCCCCGGCCTCGGTTCAAGTGATGTTTTAATATTAAAAAAAAAAAAAAAAAAAAAAGGCGAGTTGCATGGCAAGAAGATTCAAGAAGCCTAGGCTACCAAGAGTGGCCCGGGGTCACTTGCCCGGCCGGGCCAAAAATAATAAAAAATAATAAAAATAAAATAAATATTTTTATATTTTATTTTTTATTCTAAATTTGGTGAAGAATTTCGATGTGACCCTGAGGCAAAAGTTGTTCAGTTTATTTTTCTGCATAACATAGTTGTTTTGGGAAATTTTTGGATTTTTTTTTTTTTTTTTTTTTTTTTGCTGGGGCCTTCCCTAGTCCTTGCACGGGCTGGCCACGGGGAACCCCGGGCGGCCCGGCTGGTAGCCTAGCAAGAAGCACAATTTGTTTGGTTAATAAACCGTACTGATGAGCACGGCAATTTTCGTTTTCTGTTTTTTTTTAAGGAGATTTTTTGATTTTCTTGCTTTTTTTATTTTATTTGTTTATGCAAGCCAAGGCTAATGGAAAGCAACAAGACATGTGTCCGCGTGACGAGGTGCCCACGTGTCTTGTTGTACGGCTGAAAGGAGAGAGAGGTGAATGCCAAGAAGCACAAGTTGAGGTTGGCAGCCCGTACCGATCATCATCACAGCAATTTTTTTTAATTTTTTTTAAAGGCAGAACTTTTTTTTTCATTTTTTTTAAATGCAAGCCAAGGCTAATGGAAGCCAACAAGACACGTGTCCACATGCCGAGCTGCCCACGTGTCTTGTTGTACGGCAGAAAGGAGAGAGCAAGGTGTATGCCAAGAAGCACAGCTTGAGGCTGGTAGCCCGTACTCATCAGCACGGCAATTTTTTATTTTTATTTTTTTTCGTTGTTTTTTAAGCCAAGGCCAATGGCAAGCAACAAGACACGTGTCCACGTGCCCAGGTGTCCACGTGTCTCGATGTACGGCGGAGGCAGGAGAGCAAGACATGCCAAGAACCACCCTTCTCCCCCGATTACAACGTACGGTCATTATAGCTGTATTTGGGGTATCTAAGTGTATCTTTCAGCTCCCCACAAATAGAATGGAGCCCCTGTTAAAAAAACAAGTGGACACGCCTGCGGCACAGAAGAGGGGCGCGACGAGAGGCAGGCAAGAAGGGCAGCAAGCAAAGATGCAGATGAAGGCCGCAGAAAAACAACAAAAAAAAAAAACTGTAGCGAGGCTATTGGGATGGAATTTCTCAAAACAAAATTGGAGGAAATTTGGAGAGAGGACCACCAGATCCGGAAAAACAACCATGGTTTCACGGAAGGGGCGAAATTGAAAAAGGCCAGGCTTTCACGGAAGGGCAAAAAAAAAAAAAAAAA